CGCTGGCCCCGGGCCGCACAGCCGCCGAGCAGAGGAGGCACCGAGAGGGCGGCCGCTGGCCCCGGGATGCACAGCCGCCGAGCAGAGGAGGCACCGAGAGGGCGGCCGCTGGCCCCGGGATGCACAGCCGCCGAGCAGAGGAGGCACCGAGAGGGCGGCTGCTGGCCCCAGGATGCACAGCCGCCGAGCGGTGAGCAGAGGAGCTCAGATTAGACGCGGGCCTCCTCCCCCCGGCCGGTGCCCCTCCCACTACCCCCAGCAGTCTTGTCACCCCAACTACATCTAGACCCCTGAGAGCAGGAATGGGCTGGACATTCGACCGACCTCTGACACGGCGGGAGACTCAGAAGAGCTACTTAGAGACACCTCCTTCTCGAGGCTACAGCCCGTTCTCTTCTCAGTGAAGCACCAAGAAGAGACCGAGGCCCTGGAGATCACACAAACATCTTTTTTTTTTTTTTTTTAAATTGTGCTTTAGGTGAAACTTTACAGCTCAATTTCTCATACAAAAATTTATACACACATTGTTATGTGACACTAGCTGCAATCTCTATAGTGTGACAGCACACTCCCCCTTTCCACCCTAGGTTTCCCGCATCCATCCAACAAGCTCCTGTCCCTTCCTGCCCTCCCATCCCGCCTATGGACAGGAGCCGCCCATTTGGTCTCAGGTATCCAGCAGTTCTACACAAATCCACTCTTGATGAAGTAATTTGGTAGTGGATTTATTTATCTAAAAGCATTCAAATATGGCAAGCAGGGGCGGATTATCCATTAAGCAAGGCAAGCATGGGCTTGTGCTTACATACTGATCTGTAGCAAACAACTCCATGTGGGTCTCACCACCCACATCAAAGAGGAACCCACGTGAACCTGTTCACTACAGATTAGTAAGTAAGCAGAAGTAAACCCGTGCTTACCTTGCTTATTGGCTAACCTGCCCCTGCAGGCAAGAACGTAACCATATGACATTTGTTACTGGAAAAACGAGTGGGGGCAGTTTTTTTGGAGAAGGGACTTCTCTCTTTTCAATTTTTAAAAAGACCAAATCATCCATCATTCTAAGTGCTCACCAGCAAGGACAGGCCTACCTACAGTTGGTGTCGGCCACAGCCCAAAACACAATAATAGCCTGTAGGTTACTAGAAAAACCCAGGGGTCCGTCTGGTTAAGCCTGAAAGGGAACTGCACAGAGCAGGTGCATCGTAAAGTGTCCCCTAGCTTCATATCAGGTAAAAATGTGTACTAACTCCCCTTCCTCTTTTCCTTAAATGCTTCTGCTCATGGTAACAGTAGACCCTGGGTAGAGGCAGAGTATCCAGCTCCATTCCCCTGGGTCACTGAGGAAAACGGGGGAAAATGCAGATGCGATGAAATTCTGCTGCCCAGGACAGAACAAGCTTAGTGAAGAAGGAATGTAGTTTCTAGAAGCATAAGCTCTAATTTTCAAAGCGTCATCCTCAGTAATATCACTTTTGATACCCTGAAAAGTCTCTAGAGCTGTGTTGGGAGTAAAACCAGCTGTTCAACATTCTGGACTACATGGAGATTTTACCCAGAACATAAAACTACCAAAAAAAAAAAAAAAAAATCAAGTGCAGCCAAATCACTGTCCTCAAAAGAAGACAGTGGGTCCGCTAAGGACTCTTTCTACCTCAGTCCCAACATCCTGCCCATGCAAGAACTGGCTTCATCGTCACTGCTTCCCAGCCCCACTGCAATCAAATCAGAGTAGCTAGTTGACAGGTAAACCCAGACTGACAATTCTTATTCAGAGACAAAGTATAAACACACACACACACCCCCACACCCCCACATTCCCACGCCTGGGATGGCCACAGCTCTGGGGCTCCCAGCTCTAAGTGCATGAAAGTGGACTAACAGCAGGAGGCCTGGCAGTCTGGGTTTGCAGGCTGTCAAGAGACGTACACTCCTGTTTCCATACAACAGGTAACAATTTGCATCACCTGACTGTCTTCCATATTCTAGCAGGCAGTCCACTATAAGGGTGTCCACGGTGGGGGGGAGGGAGCCACGTGCTAAGATCCTTGATGGAAACTCGCGGCCGTGAGAAGCAGACAGGGCAGTGAAAACCCTTGCTGACTTACCCAGGAAAGAGGAATTTCCTTCTATAGCCTCCGCTTAAAAATAGCCATGTAACCGTGATTTAGAAAAACAGTTCTGGCAAATGAAGGGACAAGTCTCATTTACATGGAAAACTGTCGACCGAGAAGTCAGGTGTTCTTACGCTGGAGTTTCGGCCGCCAGCCCCGCGTTACCTGGCCAGCACCATGCTGTCTAGCCATACGTCGCAGGCAGTTTCCATTCACTCACCGTTTGACTCACTGGTGGCGACAAGGGGAAAGCCGGGCAGATATGCACACACTCAGCAGTGAGTTCTCAGAGGGGCCTGTGAGCTGCAGACCCCATGCTCGACGGGCAAACAGACAAAGGCCCTGCAGAGAGCCAGGGAAGGGGCTGCGGCAGGGCGAGGCTGAGACCAGCAGCTCCCACTGCTTCAGGTCTACTCAGCAGTGCGGAACAAGCCGACACCGCCAAGGCCTGAAAATCCAGCCTCAGCGCCCGTGGGAGGAGGCGGCCTGTGGTGGTTTGGGGTCTGATACTGTGTGCTCAGATCTCCCATCTGTGTGACCTTGGCTAAGATGTGCAAGCCTTTCTGGTCCTCCATTTCAAGGTATGTAAATTATGCATAATTTTCACCTCACAAAATTGGTGTGAAGACTACACTTTTAAGAATGATCAAGTACCAAAACCCAGAACGAAATCTGCTGCTGTCAAGTCGAGCCCACAGGGCGGAGCAGAGCTGCCCCGCAGAGCTTCCAAGGAGCGGCTGGTGCGTTCAAACTGCCGCTCTTTGGCACATACGACAGGTGTTCCAGCTTTAAGATTCCACATATTTGTTGGATCAAATATAGGCCTCGATTACAATTTAATCTAAATTGCTCATCGGAATAGCAACCATTAAGTTGAAATGGGTGGTGAAAGTCATTTTAAAAAAACTCAATCTTCTTGAAGTCTTCAATTCACTCATTCATTCAAAAAATCTTCACTGATGCCTAGTATGTGCCAGGCACCACAGACATTGGGGATGGTTCTGTGAACAGAACAGATACAGACTACCCCCTTCATAGAATTTATAGTCCCATCTAATTCAGACTAGTACTGAAGTAATTTATTTAGAATAAGGGTTAATAAATAAAGGATATTTTCAGAATAACCTTCATCAAATTAAGCAGAAGGCTGTCTTCTTAGGTCAACACATCTTTGGATGAAAGTGTTGCTTTTACACTGGGACATCTCTGAATTTAAAGAAAATTCAAATCCCCCCGAAAGCAGTCAGTTTTCCAAGACACTAAAGAACATTCTATTACAGCTTGCATTTTGCCTTAGTGCATTAATTCAGCGGTTTTCAAAGAGATGGTACTGTCCTCTAGGGACTGACAGGAAATGACTGTGGGGGGGGGCTGTGGAGTGTTGCTGTGACTGGGGTTGGGGATGGGGACTGCTGGCAGAGTGGGACAGACCAGATAGGCAAGACACCCTTGTCCAGGACGGACGGTACCACTCCAAACTCCAACTGTGACCTCTGAGAAACGCTGGCCACCACCCACAAGGTTTTTTAAAGTGGCATTATCACTGGTCATACTGTGCTAATTTGCATTTCTCATTCTTTGAACACGAATTTGGAAAGTCTTTCCACACACAGAAAAGTGAAAAAGGGTTACGATTAGAGTCGTGACATAAATTTTACATCACCATTTGACTCAAGAATCGTAACTGGGGAACTGGCACTGGGTTTGACATGTGGGTGACTGAGGCCGCACTGCAGTCTCTTAGCTAACGCTGTGCAGCCGTGGGTCACTTGCTGGGCTTCCCCCAGCAGAGCTGCCAAACCCAAAGCGAGGTGACGATAAACAGCGTCATTCGGAAATGAAGACCAACAAGTGGATTTTACAGATTTCTACCACCTGTCTTCAAACTTTAACATGTGAAATGCTGGCATTTTTTTTAAATGGCTAAACACGGAGTCAATAATTCATTCAAAAAATAAAAAACAAGAGTCCTTATATTTTTAGAAATGTATACTACCGTATTTATGGATGAGATGATATGCCTGAGGTTTCCTTCAGAAAAATGCAGGCGACAGGCAGGAGGTGGGGGTGCAGATGAAACAAGAAGGGCCGTGAGCTGCTAACTTTAAGTTCAGTGATGAGCACATGGGATTTCATCATATTGCTCTGTCTTGTGTATTTGTTTGTAAAGTCTCATAATAAAAAACGAACAAAACAATAAATAAACATAATAAGCGCTTACATACAGTGAAGCCTGTAAGAGCCGGAACACAACCGGACTGCCTTGTTTTTCCAGGTCTTGCAAGTTTTCCGTCTTTGACAGGGTGCAGGCTTACCACTTTTCTGTGGCTTGTTTAGTGCAAAATGTTGGCGTTTTCCTTCTCTGCCAGGTTTCCACCTTACACAGGTTCTGGTTTTCGCAGATCTTACTGTATTTCAATAAGATTTCTTTCTCAACCCCATCCGGTATTCCTAAAAACTCAGGCATTAGCTAATCTTTTACAATTCCTAGGGCAGAGGGCATGCAAAAACTCAGCAGTTCCGAGGAACCGTTCTCTGATTTGGCAACGTCTTCCTCATCCACACCTTCTTGTCAGGCGCCGTCCAGTCGGTTCCGACTCACAGTGACCCCGTGTACAACAGAACGAAACACTGCCCGGGCCTGCGCCATCCTCACATCCACGCCTAGGTGCCCCTTCTCTTGAATTGTGGCTACTTGATTTCTTCCCAATCAGCGGGACCTCACCCAGCAGGTGCTGGAACATCACCAGAAACACACGTGTAGGAACTGGAGCTCAGGAGGCTTGAATCACCTGCTCAAGATCCAACAGGGGGCCCACAGCGGGGTGGGATTTCGACCCGGGCCCACAGCGGGGTGGGATTCGGACCGCACTCTCACACTCTCCTTGACACTCTGTCCAACTGCCCCCCAGTACCACACCACAGGTGTCCAATCAGTATCTTGAGGGATTCCAAGAAAGGCTTATGAGCACCTGTTTAACTCTTTTTACTAAAAACGAATATACAAATTTTAGTAAGAGCAGAAGCCCACAACAGCTCAAACTGACTGTTTCATTAGAATGGAGGCTGCTTCAATCCACCAGTGGGAGGGTTTAAGAGAAGAATGTCACACCTATCACCACTGCACACGCTGCCCACTCTGGGCTAGAGACTGGGCCCGTTCAGCAGAAAAACTGCTCGTCTACCTTACACTCCGCACTCATATTCAGGACCTAGGGGTATTCACGCCATCAGGGGTCTAATGATTTACAGTCTCCATGCTGCTTGTTACTGGGCAACGCAATGTGAAGAGCTGGATTTTCTACCATCTCTTGCATTCAGACTTAGGCAGCAGGGTGAAGCACAGCTCACAACTCCAGAAGATGGAATGACAAAACCTTCCCGACCAGCTGCCCCGCCTCCCCCATCCAGGTAAGGCTACAGATCAGCTCGACAGATGCACAGGGCACTTCCTATAAATATCTGTCACTCTGAGACACCGCTTCCAGCCCCATTTAAGATTTCAGCTGACCTGCCAAGTGGACTTACGTGATGGCGACGTTGCTCCCGTCTATGACAATGTGCTTCAAATCCGTCCTCCCAGGCTCGTTTTTCAATTCCAGCTTGTAGGGCACTTTTAGAGTATCTCGAAACCGCTGAACCCCCGTCACTGAGCTATCGCCGTGATCAGACGCTCCGGCCAGTCTTGCATCAGCGACTGACGGCGGTGGCTGGGGCAGCCGCGTGGGTGGAGAAACGGGTGGACAGGCGGGCTTCGCCGCGGGGGAGCTGCCACACCCTGAGCGACTCCCACAGGTGGATCTCATGTGATTTGGAAGGAAGGGTTCTGCTTGGTGCTGCAACACTGGGACCCTGGGGTGATGACCTGAAGCGCCCCTTGAAACAAAACTGACAGCTTCTTTGGGGCTCGACGGGGTAGCAGAGGGCGAAGGGCCATCGGTTTCAAGGTCTACGTTACAAGTGTAGCTCTGGCTTGAACCCCACATTTCCTGTTTCTGTTCTGTTGGCACTGCTCTGAGAGAATCAGTTTTGCAATTTGAGGTACATGGTTTTGACTCCACTTTGAATGGTAACTGGGAAAATTTTCCCACCATATTTTGCTGCGTCTGATTTTGTGTCTTCTTTGGAGTGGAATCTGCTGTAAGCTCGCTCATGCTGTTACAAACACCTTTGTTTTTGGTTTTGTTGGTCTCTGGGTACAGAGTACCAGCTGAAAATGCTCTGTTTTCTTGGATCCTTTTATTCTCTTTTTCTATTTCCTCTAAGAGCAGTAACGGTTCTGCGGATGGCCCGAACTCCCGAATGGCCTTTTCGACGACGTCTTGGGAATAGCCCATGGTTTTAAAGAAGTTGACGAGGATGTTGTATTCCATCTCTTCAGTAGTGTCTTTTGCGTCTGGACTTACATGTTCAGAGTCAGGAGAACCAGACAGGTCAGCGGTTACACTTCTGGCTGATGTCCTACCGTCACATACAGGCTCCCCCTGTTGAACATTTTCCAAAGAAAACTGCTTCTTGGTATGTCTTTCTTCAGAATCAGAAGATCTCCTTTTGTGACAAATCCTCTCTTTCAAGAGTGCCTCTTCATCTGGGGGTAGGCCATTTACTGGAACAAAAGGGACAGCTGGTGAACTGGAAAAGATCGTGTCCATTTGTTTTGTAAGTTCCGAAACAGGAGTGCCAGCTTTCTTTCTTTCATCTTCCTGCAAGACAATTTCATCTCTGGAAATATTCTGCCCTGGGGCAGCAATCTGCGTCAAGTCTGTTTGTTTGGAATCTCTGACTTCAAGAACACCATCATCTCCTGTTTCAAACAGATTATCCTCACCTTGTGTGAGAGTCAGAAGTTCCTTTTTCAAGGAAGTGGGCAGAATCAACAAATCCATCGTATAATTGTCTGCTCGGGCTTCGACAAATTGTTTAAATTCCCTTTTCACCTCCGATTCTTTGAGACTGCTGGGTAGGTTCTCATTATTCTCAAAGAGCTTGACAAACTGCTGAATGTGACTCCTCGCCATGACCACGGCCTCGGCGCTCCCTCTGATGCCGAGAAGACCGACATCCAGGACGCAGAGGTCAGCACAGGTATCCTGAATCAAGCTCTTCAGAAACAGGCTCTGCGCCCCAACAAAAATGCAATGCATAGCTTTGGGGTAACACTCTCTTTCTTCCAGTTCAGGTTCACAGATTCCTTTAATATATTCCTGTGAAGAGACGGTAAGAAATTAGATCAATTTACAAAGCTCCTTACAGCACATCTTAATGTTATTCGTGTAATTACAAATGTCAAGTTGATTTTACAAAGATCAAAAAGCATGTCTGTAACTTTGGGGAAAATGCCATGTTTTAAATAAAAGATTTAAAATAAGTTGCTTAACTGTTTTCAGAGGAACTAAAACGTTTGTATCTAAATCTAACTGCAGGTATCTGTAAATTCTCAACTGTGTGTCTGGCAGCGTGATCTTAGGGACGTGCCCGGCTGCACAGTGGAGGATCACAAGACTAGACTTATTTACATCTATAAAATAGATGTAAAATGTTTGTTCTAAACATCTGCTGTGCTATCAGTCATTTCTTACTGCTATGACATAATTAAGAGATAAGCTATTAATCCACTCAAATTATTTACTTGAGAATGAACCTTGGTTTTGCTTCGCTACTATAGCCCTTGCTTTCCAGATAAAACAAACTGATTTCTTGAAGGCATTTATGGACAATATTAACAATATACCCTATAGAATTTTATGTGTTTTCTAAGAAAGACCAAACTGTGTTGATGGAGACCTAAAACCAGCCAATGAAAACCTACAGATCACAACACTTGGATCCAACTGTGCATGGGGTTGCCACTGGGGGGCCCACTAGATGGGAGCTAACAACACCAAAGTAAAAAGAACCAGAGACGGCTGGACAGCTCTGCCATCCTCAAATAAAGCTAAGGCAGGGTTTCTGTGAAATATGGTATTGAAGGAGGCCTGAATGAGATAAGAAAGGGAACTGGGTTCTGAAGCAATTCAGTTGCTGTTGGGGGCAGGATATGAAGCAAGCAAGCACCACATGCTCCCCGCCCTCCAACCCCAAAACAAAACAACAGAACAGTGACACATACTTGTTAAGAACATGGGATCTGGAGTCAGGGTGTCCTGGCCTGAAATTCCAGCCATAAACTTGTGCAAGTTTGCTCACGCTACCTAACCCCCGCAAGTCCCTGTTTCTTCTCTCTAACAGAGATAAGGCTAGTGCAGTCTTGGGGCTGCTGAGGGAATTCAGTGAGATAATCAACCTAAGGTCCTGGCAAGAATGCCTTGTGCATAGCAAGTGCTTACTAAATAGTAACAAATAACACTGTTACCTCAATTATTATCAGGGAAAACCTCTGCGTGGCCATTTGTGAGAAATGAGCTTAGCGGTATCTGATCTATACTCCAAACAAAATTAGAAATGGCATGAGCAAACGCGGTGCTACTTCACTCTCGGCCTCAGCACCATCTTGTTAGGAATCTCTGAGCCACGACAGCCAAGCGGAGGGAGAAGTGAATGCACAGGCTGCAGCACGAAAGAAGAAAGATGAGCAGAGGTCCCAAGAACCACCAGGGTGGGCGCCCAGGGAAGCCGCGGCAGCAGGAATGTGGAATGCCCGAGGCCGGGGACGCTGGTACAAGACGTTGACTGCATGCTACCGTCTAGAACTTGTCTCAATGGATCTAGAACTTCCATCACCATTCGATCGCCACAAACACCTCCAAGAGGCCCACTGTGCTCATACAAAATCAGTCCCTTCTGCTCCTTTGCCTTGGCCCTGTGGCAGTCTGGACTAGTTCTGTTCTCGGTTGCGGCTGGGGGTTTAACGTGCACAATAAATCACCTCTTCGGCTGTCTTAGCTGAAGAATAAAAAAAAAAGTGTTATTTCACTCAACTCAAAACGAGGCTTTGCAAGATGGCACCCACCATACACTCTCTCTGTCGATGGCCACACATCTTCAGTTATAGTTTATATTCAAACATGTGTACACCTTCCTCATGCACCGAGATTTCAGCACTACAAAAGTCCTATGAGCAGATGAAACACCAGAAATATGAGGGACACGCCACAGAGGAAGAGCTCAGTCTCAGCAGCGGGATATTCAGCCATGGCTTCTTTGCTCTCTTATGCTCACTGCATGTGTCGGTAGTATTTGTAGGCTTGGTGGTAAAGAACAGATCATCGGTGCTGCACAATCTTGGCTTTTTCTTATGGCAGTCTGCCATTTCTGTAACACGGTAACTGAGTTAAACACAAAGTACAGTAACTGATCTTTCTTTCCTCTTGAATGTGCAAGCAGAGAGCTAAATATCTATGTCAGTATCCCTGAAGATGGAGCCCTGGTGGTGCAGTGGTTAAGAGCTATGGCTGCTAGCCGAAACGCCAGCAGTTCAACTCCACCAGCCGCTCCTTGGAAACCCTACGAGGCAGTTCTACTTTGTCCTGTAGGTCACTATGAGAAGGAATCGACTCCACGGCAACGGGGTTTATCCTGAAGATGTCAAAACGTGCAACCATTTGGCTATTGCTTCCGTTTGAACTGATGCTGTATTGAGGTTGTTGCCTGAAGTTTTTTATTTTTAATATTTGGAAATAATTATAGGTTCACAGGAAGCTGCAAACAGAGTACAGAAAGATCCTGCATACCCTTCAATCAGTTTCCGTAGTGCCAGCATCTTACATAATGATAACACAGTATCAGAAAAACAGGAAATTAACACTGACAGTGTGTGTGTCTTTCTAAACCATTTTATCACATTCAGATTCCTGTAACCACTGCCTCCATCAAGATACTGAACGAATCTATCACCACAAACACCTCCCTCATGCTACTCCTTTTAGTCACAGCCACCATGAACCCTGGGCATCACTAATCTGTTTTCACATCTACAGTTATGTCATTTTAAGAATGTTCTATAAATGGGATCATACGGTATGTGACTTCTGAGACTGGCTTTTTTCATTCGGCATAATGCTCCTGACATCCATCCAAATGGCTGCATGTATCAACAGTTCATTCCTTGCTATTGCTGAGTAGTGTCCCACGGTATGGATGGACCAGTTTTTTAACTATTCATCTATAGAGGGACATTTTGGCTGTGTCTAGTTTGGGACTATTATAAATATAGCTGCTAAGAACAATCATGTAGAGGTTTTTATGTGGACTTAAGTTTTCATTTCTCTGGGATAAACACCCACGACTGTAATTGCTGGGTCATGTGTTAAGCATTATGTTTAATTTTTTAAGGAACTGCCAAACTATTTTCCAGAATGACTGGACCATTTTATATTCCTATCAGCAATGTACAAGAAATCCAGTTTATCTATGTCCTTGTCAGCATTTGGTATTTTCACTATTTTTTATTTTAGTTGTTCTAATAGGAATGAAGTATGTACCTCATCATGGTCTTTGTTTCCATTTCCCGGATGGCTAGCGATGATGAACATTTACCATGTGCTATTTACCATCCATACACCCTCTTCCATGCAATATCTGCTCATTTCTTTTCTTCATTTTCTAATTGGTTTTTTTGTTTTTTACTGTTGAGTTTTGAGAGTTCCTTATACACTCTAGATGGGTCTTTCTTAGATACATGACTTGCTAATATTTTCTCCCGGTCTGTAGCTTGTTCTTTCATTCTCGTAACAGAGGTTTTTAATTTTAAGCAGAAGTTTTTAATTTTAAGCAAAACCAATTTATCTATTTTTTTTCTCTTAAGGTCACTGCTTTTGGTGTCACGTCTAAGAATTCTTCACCAAGTTCTAGATCCTGAAGATTTTGTCCTAGATTATCTTCGAAAAGTTTTAGGGTTTTACATTTAAAACAATCCATTTTGAATTAATTTTTGTATAACCTGTGAGGTTGAGGTTGATTTTTTGCTTATGGATATCCAACTGCTCCAGTACTACTACTTGGAAAGACTATCATTTCTTCATCGAATTGCTTTTGAACCTTTGTCAAGAATCAGGTGGCTGTACCTGTGGGGGCTACTTCTGGGTTCGCAAACAAATGGACGCAGCACTGGAGGTGCTCACTCATCTACGTCAATAAATTTGGAAAACAGCTACCTGGCCAGCCAACTGGAAGAGATCCATATCTGTGCCCATTCCAAAGAAAGGTGATCCAAAAGAATGTGGAAATTATTGAACAGTATCATTAATATCACACGAAAGTAAAATTTTGCCAAAGATAATTTAAAAACAGTTGCAGCCATACACTGACGTGGAACTGCCAGAAATCCAAGCCAAATTCAGAAGAGGGTGTGGAATGAAAGATCTCATTGCTGATGTCAGATGGGTCTTGGCTGAAAGCAGAGAAAACCAGAAAGATGTTCACCTGTGTTTTACTGACTACGCATTCAACTGTGTGGATCATAACAAATTATGGACAACACTGAGAAGAACAGGAATTACAGAACTTAATTGTGCTCATGAGGAACCTGTACATAGACCAAAAGGTAGTGGTTCGAACAGAACAAGGGGATACTGCGTGGTTTAAAGTCAGGAAAGCTGTGTGTTGGGGTTGTATCCTTTCACCATACTTATTCAATCTGTAGGCTGAGCAAATAATCCGAGAAACTGGACTATATAAAGAAGAACGTGCCATCAGGATTAGAGGAATATTTATTAACAACCCACGATATGCAGATGACACAATCTTGTTTGCTGAAAGAGAAGAGGACTTGAAGCACTTACTGATGAAGATCAAAGACCACAGCCTTCAGTATGGATTACACTTCAATATAAAGAAAACAAAAATCCTCACAACTGGACCAATAAGCAGCATCATGATAAACGGAGAAAAGACTGAAGTTGTCAACGATTTCATTTCACTTGGATCTGCAATCAACACCCATGGAAGCAGCAGTCAAGAAATCAAATGACGTACTGCATTGGGCAAACCTGCTGCAAGAGACCTCTTTAAAGTGTTAAAAAAGCGAAGATGTCACCTTGAAGATTAAGGTGCGCCTGACCCAAGCCATCCTATTTTCAATCGCCTCATATGCCTGCGAAAGCTGGACAACGAATAAGGAAGACTGAAGGAGAATCGATGCCTTTGAATTACGTTGTTGGCAAACAGTACTGAGTATACCATGGACTGTCAGAAGAAGGAACAAATCTGTCTGGAAAGAATTACAGCCAGAATGCTCCTTGGAAGCAAGGATGGTGAGACTTTGTCTCACATACTTTGGACATGTTATCAGGAAGGACGAGTCCCTGGAGAAGGACAGCGTGCTTGGTAGAGCAAAGGGTTAGTGAAAAAGAGGAAGACCCTTGACAAGACGGACTGACACAGTGGTTGCAACAATGGGCTCAAGCATAGCAATGATTGTGAGGATGGCGCAGGACCAGCAGTGTTTCCTTCTGTTGTACATAGGGTCACTATGATTTGGAACCGACTTGAAAACAACATTTCTGAGTTCCCTGTTCTGTTTCATCTATGTATCTATCCCTTCACAGATACCACACAGTCTAGCCATGTAATAAGTATTGAAATTGGATAAGTCGCTCCCACTTTGTTCTTCTTTATAAAATTGTTTTACCTATTCTAGTTCTTTTGTCTTTCCATATAAATTTTAGAATAATCCTACCTATGTTTACAATATATCTAGTTGGGATTATGTTAGAAAATCCTGTATATTAAACTTGCATATCAATTTGAGGGTAACTGATATCTTCCGATCCAAGAATGCAGGTTATCTCCCCATTTATTTAGACCTTCTTTGATCACTTTCTTCAGTGTTTCGTAATTTTGAGCATACTAGGCCTGTATACATTTTGTTAGATTTACTCCTAAGCATTTAATTTTTTGAGCAAATGTAAATGCTACTGTATTTTTAATTTTGGTTTCTGAGTTCATTGCTAGTATACAGAATTGGTTTGTAAATGTTGACTTGGTATCCCATGGCCTTGGCTGAACTCATCTGTTGGTTCTAGGACTTTTGCTGTAGATTGCTTGGGATTTTCTATACTATCATGTCACCTACAAATATTTCTTCCTTTCTGATCTGTATGCCTTTTGTTTCCTTCTCTTGCTTACTGTACAGGCTAGAACTTCCAGCATGATATTGAAGGGCAGCGGCCACAGCTGACTAGTGTGCCTTGCTCCCGATCTAAGGGGGAAACATTCAGTCTTTCATCATTAAGTATGACACTAGATGTAGAGTTTCTGGGTAGGTGTTCTTTATCCAGTTAAGGAAGTCACCCTGTATACCTAGTTTTCTGAGTTTTTATGAATAGGTATTAAATTTTGTCAAATGCTTTTCTGTATCCATTGACATAATCGTGATTTTTCTTCTTCAGCCTGTTATAATATGATAGATTACACTGATGTTTAAATATTGGACCAGGTTTCCACCCCTGGAATAAATCCCACTTGGTCATGATGTGAATTCTTTTTAAACATTATTCAATTTTATTTGCTAATATTTTGTCAAGAATTTTTGCATCTATATTCGAGGAACTTTTGTCCGTAGTTTTCTTTTTTTATGTCTTTGTCTGGCTTTAGCATAGTGTAATAACAGTTATTACAAAGGAGTTGGGGAAGTGTTCTCTCCTCTAATATTTTCTGGACGAGACAGTGTAGAATTTATGTTGATTCTTATTTAAACACTTCATAGAATTCTCCAGTGAAACAAACTGGGCCTGGAGATTTCCTTTTTGAGACTTTTTAAATTACTAATTCAATTTCCTTAATGTCTATACTACTACTCAAATCATCTTTTTCATACTGGGTAGGCTGTGATAGTTTCTACTTTTCACGAACAAAGTCTACTTTTTTGCCCATTTCTTAGATCTAAGTTGTCAAATTTACATGTGTAGAGTTGTTGGTAGTATTCCCATATTATCTTTTTACCATCTGCAGGGTCTGCAGTAATATCCCTTTACTCCCTATATCATTAATCTGTGTCTTTTCTCTTTGTCAGTGTTATTAAAGGCTTGTCGATTTTATTAATCTTTTCAAAGAACCAGCTTGTTTCATTGCTTTTTCTCTATTTGTTTTTAATTTTGCTGATTTCTGCCCTTTATCTATATTTCCCTCCTGCTTGATCTGGGCTTATTTTGTTTTTCTGATTCACTGAGGTGAGTGCCTAGATAACCGATCTGAGGCTTTTCCTCTTTTCCAATGTAAGCAGTTAGTGCTGTCAACGCCCTGACTTTCAGCACTATGTTAGCCGCATTCCACAAATTTTGATACGTGAGTTTAGTGCTGTCATTTTGATTTTTTTTTTCTAAGTGTTGTTGACAGTTTCTTTGTTCCACTTAATTTTCTATGCTGAGTCATTTTTCTTTATGAATTTTCATTGTTGTTGATTTTGTATTTGCTGAGTCTTTATGTTTTTCTTGGTTTTTATTCTGATGTGTAGGGTTGTTAGTTTTCTTTGTGGTTACCTTAATATTTACCTCTATTTTTCTAAGCTTAAACCATTCTTTTATTTCTTTATATCACCTTGACTTCCTCTCCATATGAAAGATCTATGACTACATTTAGTCCCTCTTTTTTACTTTAATGTTGTCATCCTTTACATATTGATGTCTCTGTTTCCCTATTTTCAGCATTTTAGCTTTGATTAATTTTTGTGACTTCCCTATCTGGGTTGATATCTGGTTGCTCTGTCCTGTGTTCTAGTCTTGGGTTGTTGTCTGATGTTACTGACTTTCTAACCGGAGGACTCCCTTTAGTATTTTTTGTAATTTTGGTTTGGTTTTTGCAAATTCCCTAAACTTCTGTTTATCTGGAAATGCCCTGATTTTGTCATCATATTTGGGAGACAGTTTTGCGGGATATGTAATTCTTGCTTAGCAATTTTTTTTCCTTCAGGGCTTTATATATGTCATCCCACTGCTTTCCTGCCTGCATGGTTTTGCTGAGTAGTCTGAGCTTAGTCTTACTGACTCTCCTTTGTAGATGACTTTTCGTTTATCCCTAGCCACTCTTAAAATTCTGTCTTTATCTTTGGTTTTGGCAAGTTTGATTATAATATGTCTTGGTGACTTTCTTTTGGGATCTACCTTGTGTGGGGTTCAATGAGCTTCTTGGATAGTTATCTTCTCATCTTTTCATGAGATCAGGGAAGTTTTCTACCAACAAATCTTCAACAATTCTGTACTTTCTGCTGTCCTCCCACCCCCCAATTCCGGTACTCCAATCACTCGTAGGTTATTCCTCTTGATAGAATCCCACATAATTCTTAGGGTTTCTTCATTTTTTAAAATTCTTTTATCTGATTTTCCTCAAATAAGTTGGTGTCAAGTGCTTTATCCTCTAATTCTGACTTCCATTGCCTCAATTCTGCTCCTATGACTTTCTATTGAGTTGTCTAATTCTGAAATTTTATTGTTAATCTTTTGGATTTTTGTTTGCTGTCTCTCTATGGATTCTTCAGCCTGTTAAATTTGTTATTATGCTCTTACATAACCTTCCTAAGTTCCTTTATTGCTTTGTCTGTGTGTTCCGTGGCTTGTTCTACGTTTTGCCAGATCTCCGTCTGGATCTCTTGAAAAGTTCTGTACATTAATCTTTTGAATTCTACCTCTGGTAATTCCAAGAAGTTCTCTTCCTCTGGAAGGTTTCTTGATTTTTTCTTTTGGTGGCTTGCTGAAGCCATCATGGTCTGCCTCTTTATGTGATTTGATATTGACTGTTGTCTCCAAGCCATCAATAAGTTATTACATTTATTTATGTTTGCTTACTGTGTCCTAGCTTCTTGTGTTTTTTTTTTTTTTTTTTTTTTTTGATATGCCCAAATAGGCTGGTCTTGTAAGCCAGTTTGATTATTGGCGTCTTTGAGGCTCTCATGTCCTCTTTCCAGTTGGCTAGAGCTGTTACTAGGTATGAGAGCCCAGGAGTCAGTTTACTTTTCCTGTGTAGGCTCAAGTGTCCAGGTTGTCGGTCACCGACAGTCCTAGACAGGCAGGGGTGACTGGTGTAGGCACAAGTATCTGGCTGCAGTAGGGGGTCACATGCTGATCAAGGCAGGGGGCTGATGGCGGCCCCTGAGTGCCTGGGAGGAAAAGTGTGTCCTTGTTCCCTAGAGCACATAGGTGGGTGGGTTTTGCAGTTGGACTATGGGCACCCAATGCTGTTGGCTGTAA